CAGGAGACTTTAATTGCTGCATGGATCCCCAGATTGCTATGATGTCGCATGTGCAGAGAGATGGAACCAGAGATTTGAAATCTATGCAGAGTATGCTATATCATTGTCAGCTGATAGATATATGGAGAATTAAAACATCCTAGAAAAAGGGATTATAAATTCTATTCTCCTGCACATGCGACATATGCCAGATTAGACTATAGATTGAACATAGACTCTTGGAATTGTTGGTTAAAGTAAATATAGAAGTTACAACAATATTGAACCATGCACTTGTCACAATTAAGTTATTATGGGGAAGAGAGCAAGATATGGTAAATATGTGGAAACTAAATAAGTCACTAAATTAGCCAACTGAGAGTAAAAAAAGAAATAGAACAATACTTTGAAATAAATAAGACCGAAGGAGTCTCAATTGCTACGGTGTGGGAAGCACATAAGGCATATATCAGGGGAATTTTGATAGCAGTTGGAGTAGAAAAAAAGAAAGAACGGCAAAAGATAATAAATACATTAATAAGAGTACTATATGATCTAGAACAACTACATAAGAAGAGAATAGTAAAAGATACACAACAGAAAATGATTAAAAAAAAGAATTAAGTAACTTAATGGAGGAATAAACGAGGAGTATATTTAACATGATGGCAAGAGAAATATATCAGTGGGGGAATAGACATAGTAAATATTTAATGAAAGCACTGAGAAATAAGAAATCAATGAATTACATAAAGAAAATCAAAGATGATAAGGATGAAGTGATGTACTCAACCACTGATATCGCTAGTGTGTTAAAACAATTATAGGAAGTTGTATGAAGTGAACCCGAAAAAGTTAAAAGGAGGAGAAGAAAAATGATTTAGAAAAAGACAGATGTATTTAAAAGAGGCGGGACCACCGAGATTGGGAGAGGAACACTTAGCTGTTCTAGAAAAACCAATAACACAGGAGGAAATCCTGGAGGCACTGAAGAGTACAGTTGCGGGGAGGAGTCCTGGGCCAGACAGTTATACTGTGAGATATTATAAGAAATTTAAAGAACAATTAGTCTCTAAACTGTAAACATATATAAATGCATTAGGAGGGGGAATGGATATGAGGGAGGAATTATTGCACTCACATATTACAATCATACAGAAAGAGGCTTATCTCACTGTTAAATATGGATACAAAATTATTTGCGAAAGTTATGGCTACTAGGTTGAAAGTCTTAATTCTGGAGTGGATTAGCTTAGATCAAATAGGATTCATCCCTGGGAGGGACAGAAGAGCTAATGGGCTAAGATCATTATTTCTTATAGAAAAAAGTAAGAGAGAAAAACTTCCCCTATTGATCTTATTGGTAGATGCTGAGAAGGCGTTTGATAGGGTAGATTGGGGCTTTATGATGGATGCACTGGAGGTTCTGGGAATTGGTCCCAAAATGAGAGAGTGGATCAGAAAGCTTTACAGCCAACCATCAGCTGCAGTGAAGGTCAATGGCTCGTTATCAGAGTTTTTTTAGAATGTACAAAGTAACAAGATAGGGGTGTCTGCTTTTGTCCCTGTTTGTTTTATCTTTGGAGCCTTGGCAAGAGTACAACGCAGTCTGGACGTAAAAGGGATACAGATAGGAGAGATAGAACATACAGTGGCAACATACGCTGATGATATGCTATTTTATGTAGTAAATCCTAGGCTGACACTACCAAATTTAATGAGAATAATGAAATATTATGGAGGTTTATCAAATTTAAAGCTCAACCCGTATAAATCAAAGATACTTAATGTTAATGTTCCGATAATTGCTAAAATGGTTTTGCAGAGAGAATTCCCCTTCGCATGGAGGGAAAGAGAAATAAAATATCTAGGAATAAAGTTGACCTAGTCTTCTAAGAATCTATATAAAATAAACTGCATCCCATTAATAAATAATATAAAGGATGAATTGAGGAGAATTTCGGTTGGGCCACTCTCCTGGATAGGATGGATAAATCTGGTAAAAATTTTAACTGTCCCAAAAATCCTATATAAATTTCATATGCTACCCATACAGCTTCTGGGAATTTATTTTATAGTAATTAAGAAAATGATACTGAGGTGTATTTGGGGAAATAAAAAAACCGAGAATAAGTTATGAAGTGATGTGTAGAGGTAAAGAAAATGGGGGTTTAAATGTGCTTGACTTTAAGAGATATTATTATTCTGTATCGTTGTCACATATTTTTGATTGGACATATAATGCAATAGGGAAAAGTTGGGTTAATATAGAAAGTACATTGGCTGACAGCACGAGCACTTATACACAAAATGTAATTTAGGTTTGGCAGGTAATTCATAAACAAATGGGATGGGTATTTAATGCAATGTTAATACCGTTGGTGGGAACAGACGTCTTCCCACCTGAGAAGGAAAATATTTACACAGTTAAAAGACATAATGGAAAAAGGAGAAATATGTTCCTTTCAGGAGCTAAAAAATAAAAAGGAGGTGTTTTTATGTTAGATGAGTGGTGATATTTTCATTTAAGACACTTTGTTGCAATTCTCAAAAGGCATTAAGGATAATGGAGAATTTAAACCCATTTGAACAACTGCTTAGTGCAAGTAAGATACAGAAACATGGTACCTCCGATATTTATAAAATCCTTACTGCAATAGTAGGATCTATTTCCCTGCCGTATATGGAAAAATGGGAAAGAGAACTTGGAATATAATTTAATGAGCAACAAAAAAGAAAATATTTACATTAACGCATGGGGCTATAGATATGAAGGTGGTGGAAATGAATTATAAATATTTAACTAGGTGGTATAATACACCGAGTGTGGCACACATGCAATATGTAGAGAAATCACCTATGTGTTGGAGGGGATGTTGGATTAAGGGTACAATGGCACACATATGGTGGGAATGTCCTAAAATACAGGTATATTGGGAAGATATAATTCACTTAGCACAGGAGATTTTGGGGACTAATATCTCAAAAGATCCAGGTATATGCTTATTCCATATAACTGAGATTACAGCAGAAAAATATAAGAACCTGATGATATTTAATTTAATAAACGCAGCAAAGGAATTGATGCCAAAGTTTTGGCAGGAACAGGGGGAACCGAAAATAAAAGATTGGATAAAGAGGGTAAATTATATTTTTAGGATGGAGGAACGTTGCCACATTGAAGAAAATAAAATGGAGAGATTTAAATTAAGATGGAAAAATGGGATGAGATTAAAAGAACTAATAAATATGCTGAATTGGTAGGATTAGAGAACAATGTGAAGAAAGGACAGGTATAAAAAAAGTGGGCGAATGAAAGATAGGATGAAAGGAAAGAGGAGAAGGATGTCCCGAGAGTAATAAAGGCAGAGGAGGAACTGGGACATAAAGGGGAAAAGAAATGGGTAGGGGTGGTTGGGGGGGGGAGGATTGGGAGTGGGTGGGGTGAGTTTTGGGTGAAATGGGAAAAGGAAAATGTTTCTTTGTTTGTAATAATAAGTATTGTGATAATTGATTTTTGTAATATTGAAAATTTAAACCAACAAATATATTTAAAAAAAATAATATAAATAAATACTGTATATATGTAAATAAATATATAAATATAATAGTTGATTTATGCTACTGTTATGCACTGTCCAACTAAACCCGGATCAGATGACCCTCCAGTCAGGAGGTTTAATGTTGTAAGGACAACCAAATTGCCTGGAGTTCCAGAATGCGGACAGGTTTCCTATGACAACCAAGTCCCCTGTACCAGCAGGGTGCCCAGTACACCCCCCCAACCCTTCAGGCTGGCATACATTGTTAGGATCTTCCAAGACTTCAGGAGAAAGGAGTTTCCCACCTCCAAAGCTAGATTCTTGATATACCAGACCAGGAATAACCTGATTCTCAAAGTCAAGCGAGCACTAGACGAATCTAGACACTGAACCAACTTGTCCCATGATGACAGAAGTTGAGCTGAAGAGGTCTGACATAGAATTGGTAGCCTCAAATGAGGATACCAGCAGGGCTAGATTTATTAAGCAGAGTCACAGACATGGAGTATAGATTTTGTGTTTCATGAGTAGAAAACCTTTCCTGGGAAGAAAATTTTTGACCTGAGCAGTATCCAGGATGAGACAAGATACTTCAAGTGATGAGTCAGCCCCAGAGCAGGCATCTGAGGGTTCAGGATTCAACCAAACCTTTTTAAGGTCTGAACTGTGAAAGGCTGAAACTACCTTAGGCAAGAAGGAAGTCTGGGACCTTGACAAACCCTGGCCCTATGCAGACCATAAAAAGTTTCTTGCCATTTCAGACACTTGTTTTACAGAGGTGATGGCTTCAAGGCATACCGCCTTTGCATGACAGTAGAGAGGGGAATGTCTCAATTGTCCCCCCACATTGGAAAGTGAAGGTTCACCTTTATGATGAGGAAGGGTTTTCTGAGCATTAGGCTTCTTTGAGACCCAGACCTCATGGTAGATTGGAAGGTTATATATTAATTTTGGAGTGTTACACTTTAATAAAACCACAGGAAAGAAGTGTCCCCAGTAAAGACAACTACAGCAGTAGAAATCTTGAGTTTCTAATCCTTCAACATATAATTAAAAAAAAAGTTTTGCTTTTACACACACTTTAATAATTAAAAAGTATGTTTTTATATTTTTGTTGATCTGTGAAGATTTGTAGATTTTAATTCTATATATGTCCCTGTTGAGGAAACTGTTCTGATAATTGTCACTTAGGAGTGTTTGATAATAAATTTATGTGAACGCCCAATAACCACTGTAAATAATATTGTAATTGTGAATATGTTTCAGTTAGAGCTGTATCAGTGCGGGTGTGTAACGTCTTCTACAGATATGTTCTACAGATAGTTGGGGTGGTTTAACAGCCTCCCGCCTGCTATATAAGGTAATGACGGGCGCAAGGCAGTTCTCTCATTCTGGGAGGACGTCATATGACGTCCTCCCACTCTAACAGCGCGTGCGCAGCTCCGGGGACCACGCAGCATGGCGATTGGTGGTGCGCTGTGTCCCTTGGACACAGCAGATCACCGATCAACAGAAAGAGCCGAAGATGTTGGCTCGTCATGTGATCAGCTGTGTCCAATCACAGCTGATCGCATGTAAATAGGGAAATACCAGTTATCGGCATTTCTCTCCTCACGAGTTGTCACGCTGACAGCTCGAGAGGAGAGCCGGATATCGACATTCCTCAGAGGAGACATGTACACTGATCATCAGGGCACTGATGATCAGTGTGCCCTGATGATCAGTGTAGCCCCAGCAATGTCACCTGTCAGTGCCCATCAATGCCAGCTGTCAGTGTGCTCATCAGTGCCACCTGCCAGTGCCCATCATTGCCTCATCAATGCCACATATCAGTGCCCATCTGAGCTGCCTTTCAGTGTCACCTATCAGTGCCACCAATGCCAGTCAGTGGCACCTATCAGTGCCAGTCAGTGCCGCCTATCAGTGCCAGTCAGTGCTGCCTATCAGTGCGCATCAGTGCTGCCTCTCAGTGCCCGTCATTGCTGCCTATCAGTGCCGCCTAACAGTGCTAGTCAGTGCCACCTAACAGTGCCAGTCCGTGCCGCCTATCAGTGCCAGTCAGTGCCGCCTATCAGTGCCACTTATCAGGGCCACGTATCAGTGCCATATATGAGTGCTGCCTTTCAGTGCCCATCAGTGATGCATGTCAATGCCCATCAGTGCCACCTACTAGTGCCTCCTCATCAGTGCCCATCAGTGCCACCTATCAGTGCCCATCAGTACAGCCTATCAATGCCGATCACTGCAGCCTCATGAGCACACATCAGTGAAGGAGAAAAATCACTTATTTACAAAATTTTATAACAAAAGCTAAGATAAAACATTTTTTCTTCAAAATTTTCAGTTGTTTTTGGTTTTGTTTAGCAAAAAAAAAAAACCCAGAGATGATTAAATACCACCAAAAGAAAGCTCTATCTGTCTAAAAAAAATGATAAAAATTTAATATGGTTACAGTGTTGCATGACTGCGCAATTTTCATTCAAACTGCGACAGCACTGAAAGCTGAAAACTGGCCTGGGCAGGAAGGGGATATAAGTGCCCTGTAGGCAAGTGATTAAGTTGCCAGATGGAATATTCTATTAAATACAATTGTGTACCAGACATCTTGACACTCCTTTGCTGAGAATCCTCTTTCAGATGATTTGGTGTCAGAGTAAGTTTATCTGACAATGGAACCCAGTTGACTTCACAAATATTCACTGCAAAGGATCCCTCATTTAGATATGCAATGAAGCCTTTCTTGAATACTTAATTTCCCAGGAAAAGGCCATGAACTGGCATACTTAATTTCCAAAAAGGGTATGCTAAGATTTGCCTTAATGGGGTTGGTGTATGCTAAATACAGATTTGAAGTTAGCCAGCTATGAAAGAGAATAAATTTGCCACCCAATCAGAGCTACGCCATTGAAAGTAATGGAGGAGAGGCCTATAACAATAGACACTAGATGGAGAGAGAAGTATTTTGGAACACCAGTTACTAGGATGGGAACCTTAAGTACAGTTCCATGGTAATTATGGAATATATCCCTCGCACTTATATCTAAATGTTTGTCTTATATCTTCTCTGTTTCACTGTGTGTATTTTGTAATATGCTAGAGTTTTCTTAGTAATGTTTATTTTATGTAACTAGATCGATTGTTGATAGTTTTACACCTTCATACTATTAGTTTCAATAATTTTTATTGAAGAATTTTTATAACATAACAGGGTATGGGTATACGGTTCATCAACAAACATGGTAATACAATATAGTATTGGGTATGTTGCCCACCAGTTGGCTGGGGCTGATAGTGGTGTGTATGACATTGACGTGCGAGGTATTCTTATTTGTAATTTGAACCATGTTGAGATGTGTAGGTGGTCGGGGAGGGATGTAAAACAAGGAGAAGGATGGTAAGGGAGGGATAGGTAGGGAAAGGATGGGTGCATCCAGTCTAAGTTTAGTGGTCAGGAAAGTTTATAATTAGGTTATCAGCATTTTACAGAACAGTTTGGGTTCTGTAGCCAGCAAGACCATTGGGGATTAAATTTATGATGGGTGGAGTTGTTAAAGGGGATCTTTTTTCCATTTCACATTGGAAGTTAAGGTCTGTTATCAGTGAGGGAAAGGATCTTATTAGTATTACATAGCTTAGTAATATTGAATTTTGCTGCCGATAGTGTGTGAATGATAATAGTACGGGAGTTGTGGAGGAATTTGTCAAATCCAATGTGTAGGAGTGCAAGCAGCAGTTTGGGGTTATTGAGGTGTTGGATAGCTCAGAAATCAATTGGAAGATGCTGCTCCAGAAAGATCTAAGTGATTTGCAAGACCATAGTATATGAATTGTTGAGCCTATTTCTCCGCATTGTCTCCAGCATGAGGAAGAGTGTGTTGGGTAGTATAGGGATAGCTTAACGGGCGTTAGGTACCATTGATGGAGGATTTTTAGGTACGATTCCCAATGAGAGCTGCATCGGAAAGATTTATGGGTGATGCTGAAAGCTTTTTTTCATGTTTGTGTTGTTATTAGTTGTGAGAGGATTTTTCCCCAATTAGTTAGGGATGTAGTTTGTAGAGTGAATTGTGAGTTTATTGTGTATGTGTAAAAGGTGGAAATACCCTTACCCGGTATTGTGGTTTAGTCAAGAACTGGTATGCAGTGATAGGGATTTTTGTGAAATGGGGTATATTTTCCATTTGTAAACAGTGAGCTATTCTTAGGTAGGTGAAATATTCAGTGGTGGGGAGATTGAAATTATTTTGGAGAGTTTGGAAAGAATTTATTTTGTGGTCTGTGTAAAGGTCTTTTATGTTATTTAGGCAATGATTTTCCCATTGGGATAATTTTAGGGAGGGGGTAATTAGGTGTAGTACGTTAATTGGGGTGGGAATATGTTTAGTATCTGTGAATTTGGTAGTTAGGAGATCGTACCAGGCTTGTATAGAGGCTTGGATACATGGGTGTTTTAGTTGATAATTGGTGTGGGATGTTGGCGGTATTAAGAGTAGGTTCCGTAGTATGAGCGGGAGAAATGGGAGGGTTTCCATTGTGGACCAGATTTTCTCTTTCGTTGGGTTCCACCAAAAGTATATTTGGTGTGATTTCAGATTTTAGGTGTGGAAGGCCTGCTCCTCCTCTGGATGTCGGGCGTATTAGGAGATTTGTGGTGCATCTGGGTTTTTTAGAGTTCCAGAGGAAGATAGAGAAAGTCGCTTGTAGTTTAGAGAAGACGGTGCTGGGGATGGGTATGGGAAGTGTGCAGAATATGTATAGGCTCTTTGGCAGGATATACATTTTCAAAGTCGCTACTCATTCCAATTTGGAAAGTGTTGAGGTATGTAGTGAGGCTATTTCTTGTGGAGTAGTATCTTGTGGTTTGAGGAATATAATTGATCTGTTGTTGCGGTGAGTTTGATTCCTAGGTAGGGGATATTGTGTTTCTCCCAAGAGAAGGGAAATTGTTTGGCTAATAGTGTTTGAGATGGTGTGTGGAGATTTAAAATTGAGGATTTGGGCTTGTTAAGTTTGTAGTAGGAAACTTTCTAGTAGTTTTGGAGGTGTGTGCAAATCGTTTGTAGGGACTTGCTTGGATGGTTTCCATTAGTATGATGTCATCTGCGAATAGACTTATTTTATGTTCTGTATTGAGGTGTTTGATTCCAGTAAATGCTGGGTTGTCTCTGAGTTTAGAAGCTAAGGGTTAAATGAGCAATGTAAATATTATGGGGGATAATGGGCAGCCTTGTCTAGTGCTGTTTGTGATGTTGAATGGATCTGATAATGTTCCATCTGTTAGAGCTCTGGCTGATGGGTTAGTGTAGAGGGATAGAATGGCTGACAACATCCAGCCTGTTATGCTGAATTTGTGTAGGGTTAATTGCAGAAATTGCCAGTGTATTCGGTAGAATGCCTTTTCTGCGTCTAAGGATAATAGTAGGGAGGGTTGTTTTGGTGAGTTCTAGGTTGTGGAGAAGAGATATGTCTTCTAGTTGCGCTGGGTGCTTGGTGGCTTGGGATGAATCCAACTTGTTCTGGATGTATTAATACAAGGAGATAGGGGAGGAGTCTTTGGGCTATTATTTTTGCATAAAGTTTTATGTCTGTGTTTAGTAATGATATTGGTCTATAGTTCTAGACAAGTTGTGGATCTTTGCCAGGTTTTGCTATTGATTATAGACTGTAACATTTCTTTGGGAAATGTACCTGTAGAGGCAGTATAATTAAAGAGTTTGGTCAGCTAGGGTGAAAGGTCAGAAGCGAATTGTTTGTAAAATTCGTTAGTGTAACCGTCGTTTCCTGGGGATTTCTTAAGTGGGAGTGTTTTAATGATTTTTTCTATTTCTGTAGGAGAGATCGGAATGGAGATATTGATGAGTTGAGATGGGGAAAGTTGGGGAAGTTTGGTTGTGTGTAGAAATTGGATGCAAGTGTTGGCTGGGCAGTATCTGGGTCGTTTTTAAGATTATACAAATTCTGGTAGTATATTGCAAAAGCGTTGGCTATTTGTTGTGGATTTGTGAGCGAG